GTTGCCATTTGTTTTTTTTTGTAATCATTTTTCACTCACTGACTTATTCATTAATTTATTCATTCATTCACTCTCGCAAACAGGGTCCTACCTGTTCCTCCATGCTCTCTATAATCACCAGGTCAGCTCCCTGTTGATTACAGTATTCACGGCTGTTTCTCCAAGTTTTGTTTGTATCTGAGAAGTAGTAGCACTTGGATCCGTGCTGCTTCCATCCACGTGGGCTGAGAGGACATTGCTGACAGGCTCTGTCTGTTTGAAGAAGCAGATGCTAATGAAGACTTTGAAGATTTGTTTCAAACAAGTGTTCACACAAACAAAGCACACAGACATATCATTGACATTTGTCTTTTTTCATTTGTGTGTTCCAATAAGTCAGTGGTATGGACAGTGTATAAAAAATTATGTCCACTCACTGCGGAAATTACAGTAGTTATTCAGAAATGGGAGTTTCTTAGACAATGCACGCTGAGTGTCTGTCATCTGTGCTTGCAGTTCACTCTTCTCTTTTTCTAATTCTTCAATGTTGGTCCTCCGCATGATGTTGTCAGCCTGTAGCTGGGCATTTTCCTGGGTTAAGAGGTCATACTTTTCCTGTAGCCTTGCATTTTTATCAGTAACACTGCTGACATTTTTTTGTAGCTTTGCATTCTCCTCAGCCACAGAGCTGTAGTTTTGCTGTAGTTTTGAATTCTCATTGGTCAGGATTCTGTAATTCCTTTGTAGCTCCTCCATATCTTTCTCCATGAATGAAAAGTTCTGAGAGAGTCTGTTGTGTTTCTGAATGACATTTGAAAATGATCTGTTATCTGCAGGAGATACGACAATTTTGGACACATTTAAACATTTTTGGTAATTAGTTTGTCAATACTAGGAAAACGGAGTATAATCTTTGCATTCCCACTAATACAAATGTATTCTATCTTAATTGGATAATTAAATGTCACATAGGATTGATGCTTTTGGTTGTAATCTCAAAATGTAAAAAATGTTCTTTAAATCAGGTGTCTGCATATTTTCCGTATTTTACCTCTTTTAGCAGTGTATAGTTGTAAAAGTCTATAGCTAAAAATGACTGAAATAGAGTCAAAGATTACAGTTACCATATGTTAACAAAGAGGTGTAATGAGGTAAGGATTTAGGTTTTACTAGTTGTGGTGTTTAGTGAACCAAGAGGCAACAGTTAGGCTGGAGTGATGTGGCCACGGTTTTCCTAACCCCATATTTTAACCCATCAGCAATCGAGTAGGAGTTCAGGAACATAATGCCTTCAATTGGAGAGGGATTGCTGTAGTATGCTTATTTTTTATTATCTGGATTCTGTGACATTTCATTTCTTTTTACAACATTTGAGCGCCTCCCAGAGGTCAAAACAGTACATTCATATGATGACATTAATAGATAACGTATTGGACATTTTAGAGCACAATCCATTAGAAACAAATTCAACAGTCAGTGGACACATTTGTGCAATACATTGGAAAATAAGCAAATAAGCCAAACAAAACATAATTCTTATATTGGAAATTTGTATTTGGTCATACTAGTACTCACCCTGTTGAGTCATATTAATGAAAAGTAGTGCCTTATTAAGATTCATTGGTAAAATGCAATGGTTCATGTGTTTGGACACGAGATTCAAGAGACTGCCCAATTCAGTAATCAGTGAATACCAGTTAAGTTACCTCTGGACACACTACCAAGAATAACACTCATGATTATAATATTTTTGCCTGAATGGGGAAGATGTTATGTTGGTAGTTGGAATTTCCAACTGGGATGAGAATTGCAAGTACTCAGGCTTTGGTTAAAGAGTGAATTAATTTGTCTTTTAGATTCCAAAACTCAACACACATATACTCTCTTGACAAGGCATACTCACAGCTGGCACACAGGACTACAATGACAGTCAGTAGGAGAACACACAGCAGCCCCAGACACACTGCAGCCAGTCTGTAGGGGTCTGAACCAGGCCCTGCTTTCTCTGTGGAAACAGACACTTGTGAAAATGTCTGAAGGAGATTGGATTGATAGCAGATTTGAATGTGAATACATTTAATCTTACAAGATTATCAACTGGTGAGGAAATGCAGTCAAGTATCCTTCCACGCTGATGCTTTTACTTCATACAAAGTGTGAGGATTGTGAAAGTACAATAAAATCCTCTGGATTTATGTCATGAGAAGATAGAAACAGTGAGTCCACTGTGTTAGAGATGTGACTGACCTGCTGCTCCACTCTGTGACACTGCTGGGGAATAGACAGGGCCTGTTGTTTTCACCTCAGCATAGGTTACCTCATCACCCCGAGGTACTGTGAGAGGAGAAGGGTCCCACGGTAAAATAGCATTAATACTTAAAGCAGAGTAACTGATGATGAGCAATGAGAGACAGAGAGGCTTTTGTATACTGTACTACACTGACTGCCTCACTGGAAAAAGCAAGTGATGTTGATTACACTGTATCCATGTTAACAGTGAGCAACGTTTACACAGTATGAATATGTCAGACCCATCGTCTGAGCCCACAGTCTTCTGGTAATAATTCAGATTTTGTAAGCACACAGCCAGACCATCTCCATAAATGTAAAGTATTTAATCAATCAATCAATTAATCAATCAATCAATCAAATTTCATTTAGTGTGCTGTCCTGATTAGTGAAATAGCTTTGTATTAAAGAAGCAACAAAGATTTCTAATCAATTGCATATTGTATCAACTTCCTATTTCTCACATTTCATTTCATTCTCAGTTGCATGTTGAGTCACGCATAGAATTTAAGATTTTAATTTTAATTTGCATCTGACATTGGCATTAACTAGTCTGTGTGTGTGTCGGCTTCTTGTTTTGGATAAATGAGTAATGATTGTGAAAATTACATGTAAAAGCTAAAAAAGTGAAATGTTAGGGATCAATATGATGCACACTTATTATAATAAACAAAGTAATTTGTATTAAATCACAGTACTAAATCAAAACATAGACCTAAACACATCGCAGTGAATCTTTAGGGGTGTGAACCACCCCCTGTGTTCTCTGTAGTAAAAAAGTGTGAAAGTAATGTACAAAAACAGCTTGTAGATATTTCTTTTTACACATTGAACATACCTGTCAGCAACATATCATTCGTGTCAAAGACATTTATGCATGAGATTGCAAGTGTACTCCACTTCTAAGAAATACTGATGGACTGCATGTAGTGATTAAGAAATAGCTGGGACAGAATCTTTCCTATTTTAATATACTCCACTTAAAAGAACAATGTTTATGAGGAGGGAATTATCTTGGATGCATGCCATTCTCATAAATGGAGTGCACTGTTTTTATGAAATATGTATACTTCATTGAAAAAACAATTACCTTGAAGACCACAAAAATGGTCCATTTACAATGCATCACTGCAATGTGCTATCATCTGCACATAGCCAGAACAAAATACTTTTTTTCTTTTCCAAGATGATCTTGTTTTAACTGAGATAAGAGTTATGCTGGTAAACAACAGAAATGGTAACTGACATGACTGACCTGCAGTTTGACTCCGGGACACTATTGGGGAATGCACAGGGCTTGTGAGTTTCACTTCAGCATAGGTCACATCATCATCATGTGGCACTGCGAGAGGAGAAGGGTCCCATGGGAAATTAGCATTAATCCTCTGTTAGTGAACACAAATGTAAAGTAACTGAGCAATGAGAGATAAAGAGGTTTTTATATACTGTAGTACACTGACTACCTGACAGGACAATAACCTGTGACATTGGTTGCATCTGTGTGACTGCTGCTAAAAATTAAATTGAAAATGTATATCTATTTTATTTCATTCACTGCTGACATATATGGTAACTATCCGTGAACAACCATCACAAGTGAACACGTGAAACCTGGAAACTCTTCAGATTAAAAGCTTTTACACAGCTGGACAATCTGATAGTGTCTCACAGTCCAATTTGAGAAGAGCTGACTCACCTTTAGAACCAGCAATGGTCTGGTAACAAGTCCAATTTTTCTGAAAACTAGACAAGCTCAATCCATGAATTATATGTTGTATAGTTTACTGTCCTACACAATAAATACACAACCGCAGCAAAGACTGAGTAGCTCCTTGTATGTGTATTATTTATTATAAGAATGAAGGTATGTAGCACTAAAGAAAGGACTCTCAGTTTCGGCTTCCATCTTGTCACAGCTCTCTTAAATTTCAGTTGTATGATGCACCATAGATTGTGATGTTAACTGACATCAGCATCAGAAAAAAAAAAATACAAGTTTGACTTGATTTATGCATCATACACTGAATAATTAAAGTGACATTTTCATGTGTTCACATCCATACACAGATGAAGAAAAAGTTTAGTACAGTAAAATGTATTGAAGAAGAACACAGGATCTGACCTGGAGTGGATAATTACTCACCAGCAGTTTGATGATTTGAGTTCTTCTTGAACTTTACAGCTGAGTAGTATACAGCCATTGAAAAACCTGTGTAGTTGACACACTGAAACCCTGTGGTGTGGTAGTTAGAGAAATGTAGAGTGGAGGAGAGATGAGAGGAAGTGAAGCTGAATGTGCTTGTCTTTTCTATAATTAGATTAAAAATAATGTTTACTGAGGCACCTTCTCAACATACACACATATGTGCACACAGGTGCGCATGCACACAGACTCACAATCAACACTGATTTGTCCATTAATCAATTTCTTTTCTAATGTGGACAATAAGAAACAATTATCCACTAACTGAAAGAAACAATTGTTCAAATGAGTCTGCTGTTCTTTTATGGTAGTTAATATGGCAGTCAACAGGAGAGCATACAGCAGCCCCAGATACATTGCAACCAGGCTGTGGGACTGTGGGTTGAGTCTTCTGTCCTGTAAGGAAATATTGATATCAATATAAAAGGAATAAATCATAGAATGCTAACTGCTTTACATTCAAAACAGACTTAACGTAAAGTTACGTTGTAATTTAACCCATGCAGATTGGCAGTGTTGTATACAAGTTGGCAGTGTGGTATAGTGGTAATGAGTTTGGCTCGTAATCAAAAGGTTGGCAGTTCGATTACCTGCTAGGACACTACTGTTGTACCCTAAAGCAAGGTACTTAACCCAAAATTATCTCAGTAAATATACAGCTGTATAAATGGGTAATATGCAAAATTGTCACCTTTGTAAGTTTCTCTTGATAAGAGCATCTGCTAATTAACAGTAATGTAATATAACCTTTTTTATTCACAGAAATCATGTGGCTGCAACATCTCCAGAATGCAGTTAATTTAACATATGTAAATCAAACATACATGATGCCTTCATAAGCATAAACACAAGTATAAACTAACGAAAATTCTGCCATTACTACACAAGTGAAGCTTTCAGGACAAACTCCTGTCATATTTTATTTGAGTAGATTTCCTGAAAATATTTTAAAACATAGAAACACAAACTATTAGTAAGAAATGCATTGGTTAAAAGTAATTTCCATGTTGCCATTGGATTTTACATGTTGCAAGTTGAGGTTGACCTCTGTGATTAACTTGGGGTATTCCCCTTGTATAAGTAGCTGCTGTAACTACTGCTACTCTCCATCACCAGGATCTGAGCGCCAGGATCACACAGAGAACCTCATCTGGCCTGAGAAATGGTTACATGTGAAGATGAAAACAAGAGCTGCTCGCAGATCTATTTTCTATACATTTTACTGATGTTTATCCAAGACACACTGTGGCTACATTAATCTTGCCCATCTGCAGATTCCTAAATTCCCAGTAACCAATGGGCTCAGTGATGTGGCCCCAGCTTTTCAGCCAGGCTAATATAAGCAGCCACAGAAAGCAGGGAAGTGCACAGCCAATCAGCACCCTGCACAGATAGAGTGGAAGCTGCACTGTAGATTCTGGATTCCAGTCAGGACCAGAGATAACAATGAGCATGAGGGGTGTGGCTCCAGCTCACAGACTCAATCACACGATTAAACTTCACCTTTTACAACCAATAAAGAAGAGGCATGAGTCAAGTACCAGCATCATATTTTTATTTACTGCACAGTACTTAAAAGTGATCCAACAGAGTGTGTTCAGTTTGCTGATTTTGAACATAAACCACTCTGTTAATTATACTTTTTAAACAAAGGCTTCTGAGTGAAATATACACTTATTTTGAGCTTTACATTACATTAGATTTACATTAGCCTGTGTGCAAGAAAAATACATGTATATATGTATAAAAAAAGAATGAAACAGCACTGTTGACATTTTGGCATTTTCATCTTCAACAAATTCTAATCCTGCACATATTGTGTTGAAAAATAATTTATGACATAATGTTGCAGGGTATCTTAACATTGCTAGCAATACATGTACTACAACAATTTATTTACATATTTACAATGTTTTTAACATCCATTAATTTATTCCGTCAAAAATACTTTATTACATATGTGATGTCTTGTTTATTTATAAATCTTGCCATCACCTCTATGATTTCATATGAAAAAAATCCAATGCTAATATTGTCAGTGCTGCGGCAACGTAGCTGGTTGTTTGTTTTTCCCTGCCATGTGCTTTTGTGTTCGTTCCTCTCCCTTGCCTGCCCCGCCCCTTGTTTCCCTGCCCGATTGCTCATCTGCTTCACCTGCCCGCTTGTTCACCTGTATCTCGTTTTCTTGTTAGCGTGTTCCCTTTGTATTCCCGTCTGTTTCTTATCCCTTTGCCAGTTCGTCTCAGTTTATCTGTTTCGTTACCAGCGTTTATCTCTGTCTTGCTATTCTGCCTGCCCGTTTTGATCTTGCCTGTTTTTCTCGACCTCGTTCTTGGATTTCGTCTTTGTACGTTTTGCTGTGTCTACCTGGTTTTTGATATCGCCTGTTTTTCGACTCTGTCTACTGGATTTTCCCTCTTTCGGCATTAAACCATCGGTTGCCATTCTCCGCTGTCTGTGCCTGAGTCCCTGCCTGAGCCCCCCGCTGTCAAATATGTAGAAATAACATACACTATTGAAATTCAAATGCATGAAGTTAGTGTCAATCTAAGCACATGGGTGCTTTGAAAGGTTGAGCCTTTAAAATGTGCTCTACTTATTCATGTTTATAGGTGTTATTAGCTTCAACATCAAATTGTTTGTCTACTGTCAGGGCACAGGCACGGACTCAAACGCAGACCAGGGTATTCAGGTTCCAAGGGGGTTTTATTGGAGGCGCAGGGCAAGATCGTAGTGGCAAAATAAAAAACAAAACCCAAAAGAAAAAGAGCGGGGTGCTGCTGGTGTTTCTGGTCCAGACCGCTGCCAGACCGCTGGGGAGAGAACACACGGCACAGATCACCCTCACTGTTAGGCTGGGCAGTCTTAAAAAAAGGGCACGCACACACACCGCGGTAACACCGCCCTGTCCCGCCTCCTGCCCAGCCTAGGGCTCTGCTGCTCCGCCGCTTTCCCGAGTCTCGTCCCCTTCTCTTTCCCCAGCCGCGCTCCGCTGCACTGCCTGCTCCGTTATTCACCCCAGGGAGCGGTCCAGGTCCGCAGCACTCCGCCGTCACTCACTCGTCCTCGCACGCTATAAAATAAGGAAATCCCTTCCCGGGATTTCCTCCCCAATTCAAACCAAAAAAAGCAAACAAACTTATTCAACCAACGTCCGACTCCCGATTGCCTAAATTGCCACCTTTTTATACCTGCAACTCCCGCTAATAACAATTCAGAACAGCCGCGAGCCCCGCCAGCTCGGCGGAGGCAATCATTCAATAATCCCCGGCTCAACAACGCACCCGCAGTTCCCAATTAGCATCACGAACGGAGGCTCAACACGGCGGCCGCTGTCAGATTAACTCCTGACATGAACACAAAAGTACAGTAACTCAGTAGAGTGAATTAGAGTACTAAAGTAGCCTAAATGAGCAATGGGAGACAAAGTACAGTACACTGACTCCCTGGCTGGACAACAGCATGTGATATGGACTACCTGGATTACCCTGCATCCACTTTGATGGTGAACAACATCTGCACTAACTAACTGTGCTCAGTTTTGCCCACAACTCAGTTCTATAATCACCACCTATGAGGAGCCATTGCAAAGGAGCACATAAAAAATCGTTAATGCACAGCAATGATAGATATGTGTGTGTGTGTGTGTGTGTGTGTGTGTGTGTGTGTGTGTGTGTGTGTGTGTGTGTGTGTGTGTGTGTGTGTGTGTGTCTGTGTGTGTGTATATGTGTGTGTATATGTGTATATATATTTCTGGTCACAATTCAGGTTACCAGGGTACAAACTCACATCATCTCCCTACACTCAGTCGAATCAATGAATGAATCAATCATATTTCAGTTAGTGTGCTGCCCTGAAAAATAAATTCAGAAATACAGTAGAGACTGAGAGGCTTAATGTAGCAGGTTTAAATTGGTTTGGCATTCTCAGTGTAGAACTGGGTGTGTTTAGATCTGAAGGCGCACCAGAGATTGTTTATTTATAGCACAGTGTATCAACTTCCTGTCTGAAGTCACAGTTCACTTCATCTTCAGTTGTATGTTGACTCAGACGTCGATATTTAACCAAATGTATTTTGCGCACCTGACATTGCAGGGTGTGAACTAGGCTCTGTGCTCTCTGTGGAAACAGACACTACACTGTTAAAAACACCACCACATTATTGCTTTTTACATATTCACCATACTGTAGCGAAGGGCGAGAGCAGTCATGGCAGTTTTGTACCCCGTAGACCCGGGTTCGAGGCCGGGTGGGGAGGCTGCTCTCTCCCTTCACTACTTTTCAAAAACATAGTAACTACCTGTGTTTCGAATGCATTCATCCACGAGTTTGCAATCGCAGTCCACTTGAAAGAAACACTGATATAAGAATGAACTGGACATAGTGATAATGAAAACAATGGGATGGAATCTTTCCTATTCTAACACTGTGTGAGTATCCTATTTGTTAGAATGACGTGATAAGAATCACTTTTGCTATCTCATGTGCCCAGTCAAGTGCAATGGGGCATAATAAGTGAAATAGTCAATTAGACTATAAATACAGGTAGTTTTGTTTGGTACACAAATTATCAAAAAAAAACCTCCCGTCTTATTTGAAAAAAAGGTTTCACAGTTTAGCTCAGTTCTTTGATGGCAGTCAACGCAGCAGGAGAAAGGAATGAAAAATATTGTTTTCTTGAATCTTATGATAGACTTAAGACCAAATAATGACACTGAGAAACTTGGCATTACACAGTCTACACTGTCTAGTATTTCAAATCAATTATTAGTGACTTGAGATAAACAATATTATTCATATATGTATATATATATATATGTGTGTGTGTGTGTGTGTGTGTGTGTGTGTGTGTGTACATATATACTGTATATTATATATAGTTTATCTGAAGTCATATGAAACACACAGCCACACCACAGTGTTCTCAAAATCCCATTTGTTTTAGTTGCATGTCTGGTGATGTGTTGAAGCCCTACTTTCAGAACCCATTTAGCCAAGCTATGCAACAGAAAGTTAGCATACGTTAAGTGATGCCGAGATAAAGGTGTCTTGAAAAATGGAAGAGACAGAAAACAAATGCAAACCACCAGGGCAATTTTGCAGAACAATTAGTGACCATTATTACAAGACACTCAAAAATAATCAGCGTGAGTAAAATTATTATTTAAAGTTTGAATTTAGTTAAGGACATTGCACCATGTTGCTGTTGCTGTCCTTTTCATTTGTTCCCAGTGGTGGAGTCCTTTGACAGTGAAACAAACCGGCTTCCTTCCACCATGGACAAGGGTAAGCAGGTCAGACAGGATTTCTTTGTATCACTGCTATCCGGCATCTTGTGAGTTGCCCGGATGATATCAGCATAGCAGTACCTATCCTCCAGTGAGTGTCCACTCTGCTATAGTGCACTGCCTCTTGGAGTGTGAAAAACAACAATTGGTTGTGTGCAAGTGGATCTGAGGATTATGTTTGTCTCAATTCAGTGCTCTGTTTTCACAGTGAGACAAGCCTAATATACAATCAGTACTTTCAAAACAGCTGAACAAAGCGGGAAGCGTTTAAAGAGTCCACACAGTCTTTGTTAGAGAAGTGACTGTGACGGCCCTGGTT